CTCGAAAACTGCAGGTTTTGGGAAGTGCAAACAAGCGGATTTGAACTTTGTATAATTTATCCTAATTATTTATCTTGTTTCAAAGTAGTGCCCGAACCCGGGCAACGGAACTGAACGATATCGTGCCACAGAATACGGCCTAATTGGTTTGAAGTGAAAATATATAATTAAATATATTAATAAAACATACCTGCATACAATGTTGATATCTCTGCACATGTTTCGTTGCCATTTCCCACGATGTTTTCAGCCCATACACAAAACGTGTAGGTCGTATTTCTTTTCAGTTTATCTTTTTTATATTGAAGGTTCCCTGTTCCTGTCTCGGTATTTGCAATAATCCGATCTCCATGACTCACTCTGATGAAATATCTCGTGATAATAGATCCACCATTGTCATCTGGTTTACTCCATGTTATAGTTATTTCAAATGTGTTTTTACTAAGACTTGAAACGAAGCGTGGTTTACCAGGGGTGACTGCAAAAAATGAATTCGCGAAAAGTTCTTAACAAAATAGAGAAAACATGATACAATAAAGCCGTTAGTCTGCTTGGCCACCATATACTGGTGGTCTACACTCAAGGTCTACAGCGACACACGAAAGATCTCACATCTCGTTGACAAGTTGTTAGAACAGCATTGCTATACAATAGTTTGCCAATAGGCAACTGCCCCCTCCCCCAAATTTTGGAAAACCATGGAAATTCGGGCAAATGCTAGGAAAAATCAAGAAAATTCGGGCAGATATTTATCAGAAAATAGGTTTAGTTCAGGCAATTTCATTACAATCCTCCATAAAAATTCGGGCAAACTTTCAATTGCCGCCCTGGAAAGCATCAGCCTCGTACGGCTATGAGTTTGCCTGCAGCAATGCTATAACTTCTATACGCAGTGTATGATGCGCATCCATAATCCATAATCTTAGCCTCCTTCGCACAGAATTCGACGTGGTAAACAACGCAAAATGTCACACGGCAAGAGGGTGGTAACATGCAAGAGGTTATATTACGAGCTATAATTGGGATGAGCATCTATATTTATTATAAGTAATAGCATGGCATTCAGGGCGATTAGTGATTAAATGTACCCGAAAGCCGAGAGAGGTTTAGTTACTAAACCTCTCGAGGCTTGAGGGACATTTCATCACTAATCGGCCGTAATGCCATGCTATTACTTTGTAATATCATAGTTAACGAGGGAATCGCACGTGGTGTGTTGCTTGTTTTGAATGCTGTTTGATTGTCTTATGATTGTGGTACGAACACTTTTCATATATACACACGCGCAGAAACACATCTCCGTGTTCATTGGCGTTTTAGGCATGCGCATAAACAGAATTTTCTCCCACAATTGAAATGTTCAAGATTAGGGAATAAAAGCTAAAAGAATGTGTACGTAACCTGAAGTTCAGGCCCTAATCACAGAATAGGGCCTGACACAAAACCTATCTAAAGTGTGAGATTCCCGTCCACCTGGTGGACGGGAAATCTGATTGGTTGATCAGCATCATGAAGGATTTTGATTGGTTGCAAGTTTACATAAACAACAGTTTTAAAAATAGCTCGGTCAAGGCGACAATTAATATAAAGGTCAAACGCACGTACAAATTCATTATCGATTTCTTCGAATTTCTTTTTCTTTTATGCTTTATGGCAGAAAATAAATCAAACAAACAGTATTTTGAAAGGGCTTTATCAAAATCTTGGACGAATTTTGGACACACGACGCCGAAAGAACAGCCAAACTAGTCATGTATTCGAAAGCTTGTTGTTGACAGCCAAGATGTTTTGCCAACTGGCTTCGCCGACAAAAGTCTTATTTTTAATATCAGGTCCTACCGGCGTTGTTTTCTGAGCTACATCGCCTTCTTCGTGGTACGATTGAGAATTTCATTGTTGCTGTTGTTAGCCCGTTTTAATAAAGTATATCCCTAATATCCGCGTCCAGCAAGTTGAGACCTTGAGAAAGCTTGGCAGTCTAGCCGTGCACAGAACTGAATGATTAAATCTTTGTCTGAATCTTATTTATATAAAAGTACCTTGAATTTTTAAGTTTAATTATAAAGCAAAATGCACACTCTGCGGACATGTTCATGAGAATATAAATTTTTTGTGTAACGAAATCGGCATGTAGTAAAACATGGACTGGACTCATTAGTAAAACATGGACTGGACCCGATTAGTAAAACATGGACTCTATTAGTAAAACATGGACTCTATTAGTAAAACATGAACTCTATTAGTAAAACATGGACTCGATTAGTAAAACATGGACTCGATTAGTAAAACATGGACTCTATTAGTAAAACATGACTCGATTAGGGCATGTAGTAAAACATGGACTGGACTCATTAGTAAAACATGGACTGGACCCGATTAGTAAAACATGGACTGGACCCGATTAGTAAAACATGGACTCTATTAGTAAAACATGGACTCTATTAGTAAAACATGGACTCTATTAGTAAAACATGGACTCTATTAGTCATACCTAATTTTAAGAATTTTTTATCACTGCACATTTTATGCCAATAATTTCCGAATGACTAAGAAAATTTCCGAATATTCGGAATTTTTCGCGACCTCCCCCCCCTCCCCCCTCCCCCCTGTACCATTTTAAGGGTCAAAAATTTTTTCCGGACATACCAAAAGCCAGATATTAACTCAATATTGCCTGAATCTCATGATTTTCGTACAAAAAACATATACTATTATTTAATTCGATAATTTGGCAATCATCATTTCAATTTCAATTAAATCATTCTCTTGTGTTAATTAACAACTTATCAAAGCAAATTTTATCACTGCACATTTTACATTTTATCACTGCACATTTTACTTTTATCACTGCACAAATTGGTTATCACTGCACACTAAAATTAGGTATGCTATTAGTAAAACATGGACTCTATTAATAAAACATGGACTCTATTAGTAAAACATGGACTCTATTAGTAAAACATGGACTCTATTAGTAAAACATGGACTCTATTAGTAAAACATGGACTCGATTAGTAAAACATGGACTCTATTAGTAAAACATGACTCGATTAGTAAAACATGGACTC